AGAACTGTCCTTGAATGTTTGTTGACTTCTTGGTGGTCCCTGGCAAATGTGTGCTCAGGCTACATAGCCCACGTATTCTGGGTTGACTGTGGAGAATTTGACAGTAATGTCCAGAATAGCATTATTTTTGAGGGCCCTGATCATTGCCTCAGAAAGGAATGAGATTCCCTCCTCACAAATATATGTGGGTCTTAAGGCACAAGTATGCAAAGTGCCACCATCTTTCAGGGTGCAACCATTGGCTGCCAACACTACCTTCTCAGCCATCTTTTTGCTGTATGGGTATGGATCAGACCATTTATTTTCACGTTGTTTTTGCTCATGGCCATTCAGTATGATCTCCTTGTAGGAGCTGGGCCCTGCAACCTCAACCGAGCTGGTGTAGTTGAAGGCTGGTACACTAGCCCGAACACAGGCCTCCAACAGCTTCTGGGTATCTAAGCACAGACAACACTCTGTCAGAGTCAAGAAATCACCCAAGGAGTCCACATGATTCCTGTTCCTTTCCACCCTAAGCCCAGCTCCCTGCTGTATTCTTTGCTGTTTCTGGATCAGCAGGGGCTTGGGTTCATTAGCAATAAAAAAGGAAAATGGTGACATGTGCTATCTGCTCATCATGGTTTCTAGCCTTCCAGCCTTTACAGGTCTTTCTCTGTCTGTCTTTCTGTCTCTCTCTTTCTCTCCCTCCCCCTCTCTCTGATTGTGCACACACACACACACACACACACACTTCTGACAAAGTACTTTGATTCAGAAAAGAACAAAGTATTTCTAGTCTTTGCTTTGTCAATACAGTTTTAAAAAATGACAATATGTCATTTTGTTATTGGGAAGCAATTTTTTCCTTTTCTTTCTTTCTCTCTCCCTCCTTCCTTCCCTCTTTCCGTTCTCCTTTTTTCCTTCCTTCCTTCCTTCCTTGCTTCGTTCCTTTTCTGAGACAGAGTTTCTATTTATAGGAGCCTGTCTGAAATTCACTGGATAGAACATGCTAGCCTAGAACTCACAGAGATCTGCCTGCCTCTGTCTACTGAGTGCTGGGATTAAAAGTGTGCACCAAAACAACCAGGCAACAATTTCTAAATTACCAAAAAAAAAAAGCAGTCTCTGGCAAGGACAGGTGAGAATGCTAACGCTCCAGTGCCACATGCAGTTTTACAGATGCAATTGCACGGTGAGATGGACATTAGAATGCTAGAACTCTGGGGAGGACAGAAATTGTCACAAGCACCATGCCTAGTCACCCAGCAAAGGTCGCTGAGCTGTGTGGAGATATTATACTTTCTATGACTGAGGCTACCTTGTCTTCAGCACTGGAGACTCCCTCTTCCATGTTTTGTGCTCTGAGGTTTTAGTTTCACTTCCCAAGGTTTTTCATTTCTAGTTTCCTTTCTGTTTGGCTTTGCTTTAGCAACTCCATCTCAACTTTCATGTCTTGAGCTGTTTTCATCACATCCTTGACTTTACCTTTGTATTTTCATAGACTTTGATGAGAATTTTTTCATTTCCTCTTTAAGGTCCTTGAACATATTCATAATTGCTGCTTTGAAGTCCTTGTGTTTTCACACTGGTGCCTAGGCCTCTGGGTTTGTGATGAGCGACATGACTTTAGATGTTGATTTCGGGTCTTTGTTGTTTGGTTTCTGTTGGCCTCTCTTGACTTTAGGAGAGGGTGGAGGCTGTGGGTTTCCTGGTAGACAGTGCTTCTGAAGGTTGGTGAGTGGCAAAGGGTAATAGAGGTGGGTTATGTAAAATGTGCGAGAGGGGCTCCAGGAAAGAGCCAAATGTACCTGACTACATCAAGAGATGGGGTGCTCAGGGAGTGGGAGAGTGGAAGTCACCTACCCAAGTCCACTAGGGTCCCAGTTAGAGAGCTTTTGTAGGTATAGGTTGCTAACACAGAGGTGTTGGAGGAGGGGAAAGCTGGATCTGCTGCAAGGTTCCAGGAGTCCCCAGGAAAAAGAAGGGGGAAGGGTAGAGGGGATCACCCTGCAAGCCTGTTACTTCCTTTGAAAGTGGTATCTTCTACTTTTTGCAAATATCTAATCTAGGAACAACAGATAGAGTTAATATAATTTCCCACTTTGTCTCCTTTGACAATTAATTCTCCCCCCCCCCCCCTCTCTCTGTCTCTCTCTCTCCAGGGTTTCTCTATGTAGTTCTATCTGTCCTCGATCTGGCTTCTTTGTGAATGAGGTTGATCTTGAACTCAGAGATACATCTGAGAAGTAATTGCCTGTGCTAAGAATTAACTCCTAAATGCCTAAATGCTAACATTTTAGCCCGAGTGAGTTGATTAAGAACCTTCCCTAATATATTTATTTTTTGAGAAGCAACAGAGAAAAGAGAAATGGACTGGGGCCTATCAGACAGAGACACAGTCTCTGCATCCATTGACAACTTCAGCTTAAGGGCTGGTGAGATTGTTTAGCAGGAAAAGCCTCCTTCACGAAAGACTATTAATCTGAGTTCAATCCCTGGGATTAACTCCAATATGTTGGCCTTTGACTTTTATACACACTGCTGTGGTTTATAGGCACACACACACACACACACACACACACACACACACACACACAAAATAAATAAGAAATGCATAATTTAACAATAATGTTCATATACTTATACATACACATTTACAAAACTGACTTTAGGTTAGATACAACAAGAACTGTAACTTATGCAGAATGAAAAGTTCAATTGACACAGATATATAGTCATAACAGATACCCAAATCATTTACTTTTCAGAACTCCAAGGGTAGATGAAGTGTGCTGAATGCCTTGTTTTAGTTTATTTTATTAGAGGATCTTCTCAGAAGGTGAAGTGAGACCGAATGCTGGATGGGTGTTGCGGAATCATTGAGGTGCAGTGCTTAGTGAGGGTTCCTCCCCAGAGTGCCACGAAGGGCTAGGCATTGTCTTTTCATGTGTGAGGAGGGCCAGATCCTAAAGTATATGTGACATGGCTCAGGATATGGGGTGACAAAGTCCTTATGTCCCTGTCACAGAGGAGTTGTTGTAGTTTCTTCCATACCAGAAATGGGATATATTCTTCTGCTATGGTTCCCTGTGAGGCCTGTGTAGGTCATGGGGCCAGATATCTGACACTTCTATTAAGGGCCTTGTTCCTCCTTACCTGAGTGGGCTGGAGGGGACATTCGTAGAGAGAACTATTGTAACTACATTGTTCTTTCCTTCATTAGGCCAGTCTTCACAGACCCAGACACAAAGTTATCAGGCTCAGAAATGCCATGTTATATAAAATGTTAGTGAAGGCTGTCCATTCCCAGGGCCTCTAGGGGCAGAGCAGCAGGCTCTGGCTATAGCTCACACTTGATCAACCCAAACCCCTGATTTCTGTTTGTCATAAGCCACCTTGGGGAATTACAAATGGATTTGTAGAACACAAACTTCCAAAGCCCCATTCAGCTTCCTTGCACACCCAAGGGAGAGAGTGCCAGTGCTGCGTTCAGCCCCAGGTGTGGAATCTTAAATCACGGTAGGGGAGAGTGTCTGCATGGAGTCTGGAGTCTGGGTCCTGTGCAGTCCAGGCATGGGGAAAAGAGACTCCCAAGGCGCAGCAATCCTAATGCACATATTTCTTACCCAGAACTGTATGCAATGTGTTCCCATGCCCTGGGGCCACTACCTTAAGCAGAGGTTCTAAGAAGCAGGCACTCTTCACTGTGAAATATTAGTTAAAGATGTGTTACAGTCCTTTATGCTGCTCTATATTTGTTTAATGATGCAAAGATGCGTTGCTTTCTTTAATGTTTCATTTGTTAAACTCTTTAAAATGGTGTTACTGTGTCTGTCTAAGACACCTGATGGTCTAATAAAGAGCTGAGTGGCCAATAGCTAGGCAGGAGAATGGATGAGCTAGACTGGCAGGCAGAGAGAATAAGTAGGAGGAGAAATCAGGGAAGAGGGATGGAGGAGTGAGGAATGAAGAAGGGGAAAGGATACCAATCACCCTGCTACACAGCAAGCCTCAGAGTAAGGCATAAGAAAAGGTATACTTAATAGAGCAAGATAAAAGCCCAGAGGTAAAAGGTAGATGGGATAATATCAGTTAAGAAATGCTAGCTAAAAACAAAGCAAGCTAAGGCCAGGAATTCATAAGTCAGAATAAGTCCCTGTGTTAATTTGGGAGCTGGATGGTGATCCCCAAATATAAAGAGTAAAACAACAACAACAACAACAAAAGCAACTACACTTTCACATTTTTTTTTGAAACCAACAAAGGTAAGTGAGAAGATTTAGAATTCCTAAGAACAGCTTCCAAGAACTTTCCTACCACAAACCCAATAGCACAGCTTCCTTCAAAATTAGTCTGTGCTGGAGCCCATTGCCCATTCTCAATATCCCCCTATAGGCAGTTGGTGCCACCATGCTTGGAAAAGGGGATATCTCTCTCACCTCCAGCAACTGCTGCCAATCCCAGAGTATCAACCTACGGCTACCCTCTGCTGTCTAAGCTTACACACAACTGGTCCCAGGAGTCTGGGATTTGAGATACAATTCTCTGTGCTTTAGAAACAGAAAACTCTGAGGCATTAGGTTGCCAGGGGAAGTGGGTTTCTTTACAGTTCTGTCCAGAGCTAGGGAGAGAAACATTCTTAGCCTCTGCCCACTGTTCTCCTCCTAACAATTTTACAGGAAAACTGCAACACAAACCATCAGACAGACACGTGTAGATTTAGCTGTGAGGGAAGCTGTGACTCTGACAACATTCATTGGAGGGAATCTCCTCCTGTCCCAGCTGGAGAATCTCCTGGAGCCATTGTGACTTTAGCCTTGCTTCTCTCAGGGTCGGTCCCTATTCCATTAAATACAGTCATCCAGTCATCTAGGACACCCCTGAGACAAGGGGCAGGGATTAGTCTCATATCCCTCACCCTGCCCTGATTTTCCTCTGTCTACCTAAGATCTCCAATCTTTTTCTGATCCTAGCACGGCCTTGTCTAGACAGGGTAGAGGAATAGAACAGAAAAACACTGATTGCAGATAAAGTATTAGCAAATATTTATTATTCGTTTACTTGATTTTTATAAAGCAATGGGAAATTTCTCAAAATGAGACATATGTTATGGGGAGGTTAAGCAACGAGAGCTCTCAGATCCATGGGGTCTGAATAGTTTGGAATTAGGAGCCGTGTGCTCTGGGCCGGTGCTGAGGAAAGCCTGTGATTGGGGCAGTGATTGGCAAAGCTGTGGTGAATGAGGAAGAGACTGAGTTGGTCTCTGTGTGAAAGGGAGGCTGCAGGACCTGGGTTGTGCCTCTGTCCCTTCTGGAGGACCTGACAAATATTTTCTGATGGCACCCAGGGACATGTCCCTGCCATCGTTACTGAGTCTTTGTGTTCAGTGTCCCCTTGTGCTGCTGCACTAGTGACCCAATCCACTCTGAAGTTTTCTCCCTGGCCTCCTCCCAGCTGACAAGAGGCTCATAGCCCAGATCTCGCTGAGCTTTCTTGTAGGAGAAGGTGAACACAGTATTTGACACTGTGATCAAGTGGCGGGTGAAGGGAGGCCGGTATTTGTAGATTGGACGCAGCAGGAAGCTCACCACTTCCAGCAGGAAGGCAAGCCAGTACAGCAGGGGCAGGGGAGGGATCCAACTGGAACCAGGGCATAAGCCCCATTTCTTGCTCAGGTTGTAATTTAAATCATCATAGCTTTGGTGAGGAGTGTCATCTGAAATATAGTAGAACTGTCCTTGGATGTTTGGTGACTTCTTGGGGTCTCGTAGGCCCCTGGCAGCCAGAACGTGTGCCCAGGCCCCATTGCTCACATACACTGGGTTGGCTGTGGAGAATTTGCCAGTAGAGCTCAGAATAGCATTATTCTTGAGGGCATTAATTATTATATGAGAAAGGAATCGGCTTCCCTCCCCATAGATGTACATAGGCCTTAAGGCACAAGTATGCAATGTGCCGCCATCTTTCAGGGTGTGCCCATTGGCTGCCAGCACTGCCTTCTCAGCCATCTTTTTGCTGTATGGGTATGGATGAGAGCTTGTGTTTTCACGTTGTTCCTCTTCATTGCCGTTCATGACAATCTCCTTGTAGGAGTTGGGCCCTGCAACCTCAACCGAGCTGGTGTAGATGAAGGCTGGCACACTTGCCTGGACACAGGCCTCCAACAGCTTCTGGGTACCTAAGCACAGACAACACATTGTCAGGGTCATGACATAGATAATCCAGGGGGTTCACCATGTCCACACCTTCATAATTCTTTTCATCTTTAGCGTAACAGAGCAACTGTTACACATCACATCACATGCATTTTCTGTGCCCTGGTCTCCCAGCTACCACGCTATAACCTAGGGACAACAGTGGATTACCAAGAGCAAGAAACTTTAGGTTTTTATGTTCACTGCCCTGTGACTGTTTGCATGCATTAGTGTGTGTTTCTTTTATTTTCAAAGGCACCTAAGCTTCTTGCTTGTCCATGCCTAATGAGTCCATGAAATAATTATACTTTTATTCATATAAATTCATGCTTTTCTTTTAAATGTACAGAAGCAGAAGATCATATTCTTAGATTATGAACAAGAATAGTTCTTTTTAACTAAGAACTGTTGGAGAATTAAAATGGTCCAAGGTCAAATCCAATTGTGTACAGGTGATGTGCATGTTACATAGACATTTCTTAGTTACAGTATTTTTGTCATTTGATGATAATCTAAACTGTCAGAAGGACAACTAGTCTGAGTTATAGAATAATAATTGCTGGGTTTTGGGGGGGGGGGGAAGTAGAGGCACAGCTGGTGTTCCAGATTGTATACACAGTGTTAAAGATTCTTGCTTTTGTCTGTGACTTTATGTACTCAGTTATACAAAGAAGAGGTGATGAATATTCCGTCTAATTTTCATTCCGGAAGCCAGCACTGACTGACCTCATCTGTTTCTCTGGGTAGAAAACTAAGAGGAGCTGAGTGTTCCCTGCTGGGAATTCCCATAAGGGCAGACCCTTGTGAGGCCTGAAGCACTCTCAGAACTAACAGCTTGCCTGCAGGGTCTAGGCTAGGTCTAACCCTAGGGAGGCACTGGGTGGATGGCTATCAAATGCCTGGGGTTGGAGTCCAGTCTCATGGACATGAAGGACAACGGTTTGCTTGAAGTTGAAGTGGCATAGATGTGATTTACATCCTAGGTCACCCACTTTCTGTGTGCTGAGCCATAGCCTTGTAATAGCCCTGAGCTCTTCCAGCTGGGTCTGCTGAGCAGAGACATTCAACTCAGTCATGTTCCCTGATGAGAGATCCCCTTCCTGATCTGTGTTGACACTTTCAGCTTCCCAAGTTTCACCTTCCCTCCAGATACTGTACCTTTCAGATTAACATCCACTATGGTCTCTCTGGGAATGTCACCCATGACATCAATGACGGCCGCAGTATGAATGACAATGGAGATGCCTTGGCAGGCTCTCCTCAAGTACTGGGCATCCAGGATGTCTCCTTCCAGCACGGTCACCTTGGTCTTTGTCTGTAGGTCTGTGGAATACATGACAGGTCATTGGGAGGCTTTTCTGTGGGCTGGAATGTTCCCTGTGCACAGATGTCAATCAGTTATCTAGGTTATCGAGAATTGCTACAGTAGCAAAGTCAGAGAGGAGGCCTGATATATGGAAGGAAGTAAAAAAAAAAAAAAAGCATTCTTTCCCACTGCAGGAAACAAACCAGATTAGCAAGCAATCAAATGTGCCCAGGGTGTGAAATTGGTTCAAGAAAGTGGGGGGAAGTTGATCCATTCATCAAGGAGAGTCAGAAGTTAATGGGGGTGGGGGACTGAGAGTGTGACAGGGTTGGGATAGGAGCGGACTGGGTAGAAGTGAGATTAACAATCAGAATGTCTGTCCCAGGGTTATGATGAGGAAGACCCTGTTCCTAGCGGAGGGGAGTAGAGAAGGAAGTCACACAGATATGAATCTTAGGTATGTGTCTCCCCGCATACTCCCTTTGTCAAAGCCTGATATTTTCTGGGCTTGTGCTGAGCACAAAAGGAAGAGGTAATGCAGCACCAATTGCTTGTCTTAATAGACCCACGAAAGTAGAGGTGCTGGCAAGAGAAATAGGATAGGCTCCCTGGCAGGGAGTGGCGCACACCTTTAATCCCAGCATCTGGGGGGGGCGGGGCAGAGGCAGGCGGATCTCTGTAAGTTCAAGGCCAGACTGGTCTATAGAGTAAGTTTCAAGACGTAGGATGGGTTCAGGTATAGGTACAATGGAGTATCTCCTACGAGATATTACCAAAAACCCAGAAGTCTATGTTGCAACAGGCTCTCCAGGGACCCCTTACAGCTGTCTATGCCAAGGCAGTAGGTACAACGCCAGTACCTTTGGGTTCCTCTGCCACCCACAGAGAGCACTGCCTGTCATTTTGCCACTCAACTCTCAAAATGAACTGTGTGCCAGTGTGACACATGCTGTCTTCACCAGTGCCCTGTGTTTGCTTTGGCTTCTTAATTTGCACCCAACTTTCGGAGCTTCCTTATTTCCTCTCCACACTTCCTAGAGCCTGGCCCTCTGATGAGGAAAGTGGGGGCACAGGTATGGCGGCACCAACTGAGGGACCTCACTTGACCTATCTCCACTGGCGCCTCTAGCCCCATTCTCTGGGGTTGCTTGGAATCAGGTTTTCAGTGGCGAATTAAAGTCACTGAACTGAAATTGCCAAGGGAGCCAGATAGCAGCGAGGAGGGCAGGAGAAATTCGGAGCTGAGGGAACATTTCCAGAGACACAAATACCAAGGTTTGCTCCTAAGTCTCGAATGAATGTGTCCTCTTTGCAACCCCTCCTCTCCTCCAGCAACTGCAGGACATCCCTGAAGGACAGAGGGGCAAGCAGGGGACTTCTCAGGAGAAAGCCGGTACCTAGCAGAGGGTTAAATTCCCAGATTATGATCCTATCTGCCCATGTCATCCATCTTCTCTTTCACTACTGATTTAGACAGACTGGTTCAGGGATGTCGCCTTGACAGGACAGAAGGAATCCAGATCTCTATTAACATATATTCTTATCCATGAGCTATTTGGAGACCCCGAGATCCCAGGAGAAGACTCTAAGAGTGTTTCCTGGTGGAGCCACAGCTGCAACCTTATCTAGGAGACCAGGGTGTGGCAAATATTGCGCAGCCACCTGGTGGAGTGTTGCTCTCATGAGAATTGTGTCAGAGAGAGAGACCCCAGGAAACTTCTACTCACAGAGAGTGTGAAGCGCATAAAGGTTGCAGCTAAATTTCCTGGGCTCCCATTCGGTTGGTTGATTTTAGCTGTGCTATTTGGGCAAGACAGTTAACTCCTGTGTCTATTTGTCTTCAGAGATAGTGGCGGGGGCAGGGGGAACACAGTAACTACATTCCAGGAAGGTTGTACAGAGCTAATGAGCTATTGCCCCAGAAGGCACCAGAGAGGCTGGCACAGAAAGCACACACACGGACAGGAGTCTCAGCTCTTACCGTTCTGCAGGGCCTCTATCCATTCCCCCTAATGGTACTCACTGTGGCGCTCTTCCTCCAGACCAAGGCCTGGCTACTTACAAATATTGCTGAGATATTGGGATTCTAGCTAATAGAATTGGCTGTGTGTTTGTACGTGATTTCTGGAAGCAGCATTCAAGCCAATAGAGGAGCAAATTGACCTTGGAAGAGGTCGGAGATAAGGAAGTAGTGTAGAGGATTAATGGTTGTCTCAAAGAGTTGGGGGGGGGGGGGGTCCTGTGTGTAGGGCAGATCCCTAAGTATTTGACGTTTACCCTTGATGCTGTGGAGGAGGTCAAAGAACTAGCTTGAGGCAAATATAGACAATGGGAAACACTGAAGATTCTGGGGCCAAGGCAAAATTAATTGAGAGAACCTCTGGCTTGATCTGCGATCCTCATTAATCAGATGACGTTGCTATAATCATCTTTATTTTCCCAGCTCAAAGTCCTTGCTGTCCAGGTGAGAGTGGGCCTCCTTTCCTACTTTCCCTGCAAGGCTCGTTTAATGACAGGGGTTGAAGAGGTGGTTAAAATATCCCATGAAATCAGCTCGTCCAGTTGTACCTGAGATAACAAATTGGCAAAGGAATAAAGGCCTAGCCCAGTGAATTCTGCCATCTTTTTCTCAGTGATGACAAACACCAGTGAGGAACGATGAGGCGAATGTAAGAACAGCCCAGGTGAGGCATGGGCAGTCCTGCTCACACTGGCTTTGTGTTGGTCCCTTGGTGTGACCTCGTGCAATTGCTCAGAAAACTCACTACCTCAGAGCTCAGTCTCCATATCTGCTTTTTCCTGGCTGCCTGGCTGCCCCTGCTCCTTTCCTATCTTGCCTCTGTCTATTCTTCTCCCTTTTATATCATTTTACTCCTTTTATTTGACCTCTACCCAAGACACTAAATGAACGACACCCCCCACCCTCCACCCACGCCCCCACTGCAACAGAGAAAACCACAACAAAACAAACAACTAGATGGGTAGCAATTAGGAGAGACAGGGAGCTAGCACCAAAACCTCCAGCTTAATAATCTTTATGGATATTACCTGGCTATTGGCAAGTCTGCATTGAAGAGCAGACGGGAGAGAGAACCCGTCAGTCTTCCCCAAGTGTACAGTGTTTTTTATGCTGTGTGCTCTGTTTCTTCCCGATTAATGTGGACATGGGGAAGTGTAATGACTGCTAGCGTTTTTCATTTACTTGACAAGGGAGGAGCCCTCCAGGCATCCAGTCATCCAATCAGCTATGGTTATGCAGTCACGTGCCTAAAGAGTCCAAGACGAAGAATATAGAAATGAAGGTTCCAGACATAAGAACGGGGAAATGAAGAAACATAAAGTTGTAAGCCCAGGAGAATATGAACAGGTTGTCAGCAGCTTTCTTAGCAGCTTAAGGATTGACAGTTAAGAGTGGGTTACTTTGCTTTACAACCCATAGCTCTGTCTGCAAGGCTGAAGCGGCCCTCTGCAAACCAAGGGTCAGCTTTTAGATAACCCCCCAACTACTCTTGACTAACAACTGATGTGAGCTAAGTTAACCTTTAATGGGATATACACAACTTCTTGGCTGTGCATTATCCCATACCCTTCCCTGCTATACACAACTGGTAGTATCAGGGGCGGGGCAGAGCTTAGGTAAACACCATCAGAAAGCGCCAAAGAGAAACAATGGGCAAAGTACAAACATTAGTTTAACTGAAAAACCCTGTTAATGGACGTTATAAAGAAGGCAATTTGTGTCTGAGTTTTACCTCAAGATTGTAGAAATTCTTCTGTTCATGCCTAGTGCTTGCTTCTTGCTATAAAAAGGGGGAGTTCAAAAGTAGCCCATTGCCACAGCCATGCAGATTCATCTTCAACTGTGGTCTCTCAGCTAGATGAGAAGCTTTGTGTGCCCCATGGATATTTTTTTTCTTTTACTGGAATAAAGTTTTCTTCTGGTTTAATAGACTTTGATGGGTCTGTCCCCCATCTTTGTGCAACCTTGTGGACCCAACAACACCAGATCCTCAAGTTTACTTACTGAAAAATTCCTCCTTGGTTTCCGGCCTGAAGACCTTGTCCAGGACTCTGACCTCTTCCAGATCCTTCTCCTGCACCAGCAAGTGGACGACCCTCTGGCCCAGAAACCCTCCTGCCCCTGTCACCAGGCAGCTCCACCCGGGCATGGTCAACACAGGAAGCAGGTCCAGTGAATGCAAGGGGTGATGTGGGGTGATTCTGGAGATGACTGAAAAGAGAGAGCCAGGGATGACTCAAGCCCAGTTTCTCCCACCAACCTCTCATAACTCAGATGGCAAGACGCAGGAAGGTTTCTCCACAGCACTAAGCAACGTGTTTCAATGTATACCCAGAAACTGTAAGGCCTTCAGGGTGTGGTTGTGTCCCAAGATTTCTGCTTTCCCAGATGCCTGTTGCAAGCCCAGGGTGTGCTTCGGACAGGGCCCCAAACTCACTGCACACAATCAAGTTACATAAGCAGTTCGCAGAACTCAGAGAAATGTTTACTTTGTTGGCTACAAAAGGTGAGGCACAAAGAAAGAGATCCAGAGTTTTTATGTCCTTGGGGAATATCCTCCAGGGACCTGAACAGGTCCGGTGACCTGGAAACACAGGAAGCCTGTAATTGGGCATCTGTTTTGATGACTTCATTTATGGGCGTACTGGAATCATGTACAATTTTGCTGAAACAAGATAGGATTCAGAGGATCCAAGTGTATCTGATTGGATGGGTGACCTCGTAAGATCTGTCTTTTGAAATCCCTCAGCATTTCTTCCTTGAGGGTGTGGGACAGACGATGTTTAGACTAGGAAGGCTCTGCCCATAAGGAGGTACAACCCATCAACCCATTTTGGAGTGAGATTTGAATCACATACCATAGAGAAAAAAACACATTTAGGGGATAATAGCAAATCCACTGTCTGATATATATATCTCAAATCCCTAAATCCCTCATGTCAAATAGAAATGTCATCAAGAAATCTGCCATATCGAAGGAATTTTATTTAACCTTTATTAGTAAGTTCCATGCTTTATGCTATGTGAATACATTTCGAAGGCCAGAATCAGCCACCACACTTCCTTTTTCCTCGCCATCAGGTTACAAAGCAAGTTTTTTTGCAAACTTACACTTTCATCTTTCCAGGAATCTTGTGTAATTGGGTTATGACATAGTACTGTGTCTTTCTCTAGATTCGCTGGAGGTGTAGATGTAAGGAAAGATCCCCTTCCAGTTAGAGCCTAGTTATTCCTTTCTCTTCTCTCAGGGGCTCCTCCTTTTCTCCCAATTCACCAACAGCCAAATATTTTCAGGCTTGGAAGGGACATTAGGTGAGGCCACTTGCTCATCTAGATTGCATGCAGCAATGGTAGCCTAATAAATAGCCTCTCTCCCACATAGTAGTAGGGTTAACTACATCTTGTAGAACTGGTGGGCTATCTGAACCACTAGCCAATATAGCAGCACTCACTGTTAATCCCAGCATCACCCACACCTTCAGAACTCCAGGAAGTGTGATAGAAGTTTCCATGGACACTGTCCCTAGCACAACACTTTCAGTAGCTTGAATCCTGGTCTTCAGATAGTAGCCTTGGTGCATTGGGAGCTGATCTTTGAAGAGATATGTGAAGCAAGAATGTTACACAATTGCACACATTTGTGTGTGTAATCACTTGTGTGCATACGTGTGCACACACACGCACACACACACACAAACATACATGCCATTTTCCTAACCTCTGATTTGCATGGCGACCGTTTTATACACCAGGCTGGAGAAAGATTTCTCTGTTAGAGTCACCCTCTGCTCCCATAGAAGCAGGTAAAAGTGACAAGGAGCTCGGGAAAGGCTGGAAGAGATACCTCTTCTGTGAACCTTGTCTTCATCCCACCACTGTTTCCAGTTGGCCTCCATTAAGAATTCAGCAGCACATTTTGCTCTAGGAGGACTTCATCAGGGAGCACAGCTCAGCTAGAAATCCCTCCCTCCTCAACTAACACCAAGAGACCAACATCAAGAAAAAGTGGTTCAGTTTATCATATAATTCCAGTTTAAACACTTCAAGTTTGTCACCTACTCATCTCTTATATTTAAATGTTTTAGTGCCAAGTTAATTTCCTGGGTGCGTTTTTCAATCTAGTCCACTAAGCTGCTCACCCACTTGGAGGATAACCCTGTGTCCATTTTGACCAGGTAGAGCCTGCCTTCTGCAGCCATGAGTCCTGTCCTAACCCTAGTGTGTTCGTCTTTGTGCAGTTTTTAGAACCAAATCACTCTGCTCGATCAGCTACTCTCCCAATCCATTTGGACAACACCCATGAAAGAATTCCTTCACGTTACACCTTCCTGCTTCCACCGTCTCTTGCTATCACCTTTCCCGTTAATGGATTGTGCTTTTGGTGACCAGGAGACAGGAAGAGAACCCCTGTTGTGCTTGTGTAGTTTTTCTTGGAGGCACTGCTGACAGTGGAGGTCTGAGGTCAACCCCGAGTTGCTGTTCTGAGCTCCATCAAGCATCAGTCTGCCCCACCGTTCTGGGTCCTTTCCTCCCACGTCAGGCACCCTCTGTCTGCATCAGCCTGACCCAGCATTCTCTGCTAAAAATGGCCAAAGTTTCACCCCTTTCTTACTAGTCTGTGTGTTTCTGTGCACACAGGGACACAATTCCCCAGCTGTTGTAGCCGTCTCTAAGTCTCAGTGATAACTTTAAATAAATGATTGTGAAATGGGTCCTACAGGAAGAAAACAGGGGATGGAAAAAGGGCTGTTTACAGCCTTGTGCTTACCAGGCACCTTTCAGGACATATCAATATATTTATTTCCTCTCATATATTGACTTTTCTCTGATATGTTGATATTTTATATAGACCAAAGACAAGGGCAGTTACCCACGACAATGAGCAATCTATTTCTGAGAATCACCTTGTCACCTTAAGCAAGGTGATCTTTCTTGGGCAACACTGCAGAAGCTGGCCTGGGACAATGATCAGTTAGCTCACATCTTGACAAGCATTGCCATAACTCTGTTTACCTATGGCTCCTATAGCAGCTCTTCCTCTGCTGATTGTGAGCTCATAGCAGTACCATGAATATGAACTTGGGGCTCACTGAGCGCTGTTATCTGTTTTTCTTCCCCCGTCCCCCAGAGCCACGTAGAAGAGATTTTTCTCCCCTTTGTTTTTTTTTTAGCAAATACTTGTTTCATTAATTGGTAGGATGGCTGCTCCAGTCCAGGTTTTTAACTTAGAAGTTCTGGTGACAAAATGCTGTGACTGATGGTCACACAAATAGCATGCTTGGTAGTTAGTAATAGCTTAGTGTCGCCAGATAGCTTGTGTGTTTGGGTCAGGGTTCTATAGAGCAACAGAACCAAGAGGATGCCTGTCTGTCTATCTATCTATCTATCTATCTATCTATCTATCTCCCAGAATTCATTAAATCAGCATTAAAAAGAGTAAGAACAGTCAAGTCACACCTCAGGAACTAGTGGTTACCTGCTTCTTGAGGCTAAATGCCTCAGCAGTTTGAATGGTCCCATAATAGCTGTGGGGAGACAAACTGTACTTACGTAGCCTCAAGGCCGGTGTGTCAGTAGTCCCAACCTGGAGCTGGAAGTGTGGAAGGTTTCTGAGACCCAGCTGGTCTCCGGTTCACGAAGCAGGCTTGGAAAAGATTGTTTCTGCTATCTACAAGGGAGCCAACAGCAGCACTGCCAGTCAACTCCGATGCAAGAAGGAACCAAAGCCAGCACTGGGCCAGATGTTCCTCCTGGACAGGGCGTTTTTTTTTATTTGGGCTGCTACCAGAGGGTGCCGCCCACAATCAGGGTAGGGCTTCCCACATCAGTCAAGGTAATCAGGGCATTTCGTTGAGTGATTTTCCTTTGTGACAAACTGACACTAAAACCGAGGTCGGAACCAGCTGAGGAGGACTTCTTTTGGCAGAAGGCTACTCTTGAGCTAAAGAGAACATCTTGTTCTACAGTCCAAAGACCTGCCTAAAATTAAAAGGTACAAAAGAAAATAGATTTGTTTAACTTAAAAGGAAACCAAAACATCTTACAGAAAGGGTTTTCCGTAAATCTGCGGGGAGTCCCTTTATTTGTCTTATGACGTCTAATTCTATATCTTTAACTATAGATAAATCTAACTTTAAAAGGTTTTGAATAGTGATGGTCAGCTCTTTCTTTGTTGTCAAGGTTAAGGGTGGAATCAGGCGGAGTGCTGTGAAGGCCACACGAAGGCCCAGCAGAGGGCTACAGCTGGCTGTGTTTCTGTTGATTGGAAGACAGCATGGTGGGGGGGGGGGGTCACTAGGCTTCAAGAGATCTTAAGAGGGCTGGTAGCTATCTTTGCACTGTCCCCTTTCACATTTTGGGTATATTTTAGAGGCTGGAGAAGGTTTGCAGACTGAGATTTAATATATGACCATGACCACCGGTCTATGTCTCCTGCTTCAATGGATAGTTCCATATTCAATCCTGTGGATATTATCCTTAAAACGACACAGAGTTGGGAGGGGCAAGGGGCAAGTGTTGGGGCAGGGATGCTTGGGCAGTGTTTGAGGAGAGTGGTTGGGGGATGAATATGATCATGTTTCACTGTATATGCATATGAAATTCTTAAGAATAAAGAAAAATTAGCATAAGAACCTACTATATGCAACCAAAATCACAGCTTTAAAATCTAATTTCTATCTACGTTTATGTAAATTTACACGGACGTTATAACAAAAACCTCTCAGCCCCACTTAAAGATTTGTCAAAGTCCTTCTACAGTCCAAGTATGGATGTCTAAGTGATAAGGACAAAAAAGAGTGTCAATACTTGGATCTTAGTCCTGGAAGGTCAGTGAGAACCCAGGGGTGGGCAGGTGCCTCTAAAAATTCCAGCGTGAACAGATACCATGGAAGCACTAAAGGGTGAACATTAACCAGAATTCTCTTGGAAGAGGGGAACCATTGAAAAAAAGGTCTCTCATGCTTGAATGGTCAATAAGACTTTGACCCATCCCTGAAGATGGTGACGATAGGTTACCTGCATCCCCCAGGTATGGTTAAATTAGCAATTCAAGGTTTCAAGGTTAATTATTGGCCACCAACTCTGTCTTGAACACCAATAGGAAAGAATAATAACAACACCAAGCAGTTATAATATTTTGGAACACATACTACCAGGCCCGGACTAAGGCTCCCGGACTGACATCCTTCAGTTAGGGGCCCTATCTACCTACAGCAGAGTCAGTAAGTGACTGGTTTTAGTCATTCTCAAAGGGATTTTACTAGGTGTTACTAACTAATCCAGTGGCTGTTAAACTCCATGGGTTACTAATGAGCTGCACCTGGGCAGGGTCAGCATTCCTTTCCAGAAAATGGCTGAAATAAGCAGAAAGAGAGCCCCTACGAGAGCATTAAACCAACTAAGTAAGCACCGATACTTTCCCTTTAAAGGGAACCCTAAAGGTCGGTTGCAATAACTAAGTATAAAAGTCCACGACACAGAACTTCCACTTTTAAAACTGTCCTGGTGGAAAATTGTAGCACGAGACAAAAGTTGGGGTTCAAACCGAAGGCCAGGAAAACAAAACAGCCAGCCACTGGTTCTTATCTCAGTCCGAAATGGCTATCCTTCATCTCAGAATGAGACTGACTGAGAGCTGTCTCTCCCCCATCTTATGTTCCTCTCCAGTGCTGGGATTAAAGGATGCACCACTACCACCCGGTTTCTATGGCAAACTAGTGTGGCTACTGGGATTAAAGGTGTGTGTCACCACTGCCTGGTCTGTAAGGCTGATCAGTGCAGCTGTTTTACTCTCTGAACTTCAGGCAAGCTTTATTTATTAAAATACAAATGAAATATCACTACATTTCCACTTTTTGTCTAATATTAAGAGGGGAAGTTATAATTAATGTAAGAAAAACTATATACAATAAGTATAATGACTATAAACAATATATACAGATAATAACTACATCAACAATGTCTAGTCCATTTGCATTTGACAAACTTAGAGAAAATATTCCCTATCTATCCTATCTTGGTGAGTCCAAAGTCTTGTACCTAATTTACTTTCTATCATAACTTGCTTTCTGAGTCTGGTAAACTACAACTCTATCTAATCTCCAGCTTTCTCAGAGACCTAAGAAGGAAATAGTGTTAACTGAGTAAGCAGGAAGTGTGAGCAGACAAAATTCAAATGGAATATTACTACAGACAGTGTCTCAGTGACACGCATGCTCCCCATCACTCCAGGCAAATTCTTTCTTGACTGCTATAAAATTCTTCCCAGGATATTCTGTCAAAACTAATTTTGTCTGGCTCTGACTACATAAGAGTCTAACTCTGTCCGATATTCCCCCAAATCCTCCATCACGGCTCTGTCATTCATCCACAGGCTCAGCATACTCTTCCTGCCCTTTAGACAGACTTCACAATGTTCCCCTTAACTCCTGCATGGCTCAGACCCCAGGCAATGCACAGGGAACGAGTGGGCTCCTGGGACACACCAATTGATCATCCCTAGGTCTGTCCTATTTGCTGTCTGTTACCTCAGAGACCCTTATGGCAAGCAAGTCAGCGAATTCTTGTTGTAATACAGCAGGCTCTTGTTAACCTCTTCTCTTCTGAAGGGACAGAATTTATTTACTCATTTATTTTTAATGCCAGGCATTCTGCCGTGCCTCTTCTCATGCCCAGTTTTCACAGGTCCTTGTTAGGCTGCGTGCCCACGGATGTCGCATTTCTTACTGTTCTTATTCAACTGGACATTTTCCATCCCTAACACCTACAGTGGCTGAGTTCCTTTAAGAACTCTAAAGGCCTTCTGGCTAGAACAATTCTGAGGTAAGTTGTCCAGATGGGTTTGGACGCTCTTGGGGTCTTAGGGTTTCTATTGGTGTGATAAAACACTGTGACTGAAAACGAGACGGTGAGGAAAGCATTTATTTCAGTTTATAGCTCCACATCAGAGTCCATCACTGAGGGCAGTCAGGACAAGAACTCAAACAGAGGAGCCTGGAGGCAGGAGTTGGTGCAGAGGTCATGGAAGAGAGAGTTGCTTATTGACTTACTCTTCATGGCTTGCTCAATCTGCTTTCTTACACCATCCAGGCTACCTGCCTAAGAGTTGCATTGCCCACAGTGAGCTGGGCCCTCTTACATCAATTCTCAATCAATGAAATGCTCTCCAGTCATGCATGCCACAGACCAATTGCTATGGAGGCATTTTCTCAGTTTAGATTTCCTTTACCTACATGGTCCTAGCTTTGTGTCAAGTTGACATAAAAACTACCCAGCCCACATGGCTTTGTGCTTTTATGTCTTAACCTTTTGTCTGCTTAATCTTCTGATGTAATTGGAATATTCTATATAGTGAAACATTAAGCTACTATCTTTGGGATATCAGCTATTACCATCAACCATGAAGCCTGTTTCACACCTTTGAGACTGTCTTGAATTCCAAAGGCTGTTACAGGCTAAGCCTTTGGTCTCTTGTGATGGTCACTCCTCTCTTCTCTAAAATACCCCAGTGCCTTCTAGGCCTGAGAGCCCTACAGCCTTATGGTAGATCAGCCACAGCAGCTATGACACCAAGACCCATGCTCAGCTCTGAAGCAGTTTCACAGTCAATACCTTGACGTTGGTGATCTACAGGTAGAAATGTAGAGCTAAGTTCCCCACACAAAGCAAAGTGACTACATTTTGACCATCAGCCTAGGAGCTTGGTACTTTCTTTTGATTTGCTATGAGGCCTCTGCTCGTCATGGGGGTCAAGCACGTCCTAATACCAATTAAGATGCTAGTCACCTAGAATCACCCAGAACAGGCTAGCATAAACGTTTGTCTCTTATCTTTGGATTCCGGGGAACTCATGTGGCTCAATTTGTAATGAATTCATTGCTATAGGCATCAAGTTTTCAGCTTCCATCAGAGATGCAGACTAATAAATTAATATTTAAGATAATATATAAAAGTTACATTTATAGTACACTATAGGACTAGCCAGCAACAAGTTTTCTCTAGGTGATGTGGAATTCCCTTCTGTTTGCTGTGAATACCATTGATTAATAAAGGACAGTTTTGGACTTATAGCAGGGCAGAACTTAGCTAGATGGGGAAAACTAAACTGAATGCTGGGAGAAAGGAGGCAAAGGAGAGAGAAGCCATGTAGCCCTGCTGGAGACAAACGTTGAAACTTTATTATTTTTGGGCTGAGCAGTCAGGAAACAAACAAGCAGCCTCCTTGCAACATGGAGGGACCTCAAAGATAGCATACTTACTATTTCTCATAGCTACACAGAACCATAGCCATAATTCAACAAGTTGTCTTGGTTTTTCATGTCCTTTTAAGGGTTTTACCTTGGGACCTGCCTATCTGGGATCAGATTGTTGATAAAAATTTTTGTTGTTTTTCAACTCAGGTTGTCTTTCTGCTTTTAGTGGAATGGTGTTCAGGAAAGACTAGGTTGTGGTGGGCTTGAGGTGACACTTTCTTCTGTTAGTCTGTTGTTCAGGCACCAGGTTGTATCCCCAGACACCTACCGAAGTTGAGTACTGTCTGTAACTATAGTCACGGTCCAGCAATAAACACACCACACAGAGTGTGAGTTGACGACAAAACAATCATTCTGTAAATACAAAATGTTATAGGAAATAGAAGACGGCCCTGTCGTATGGTGTACACGGATTATTGTGAGAGAAAGTGAAGAGAGAGAAACAGTGGGGTAGTGGTTGGTATTAGGTTGCTTTACTAGAGGTAAAGAATGGAATATGCACAGGAAGGAATGGCAAACACAAAAACAAAAGCAAGAGGTGAGATGTAGAGGTTCTGCTTAGAAGTAGATTAAAGAGAAAGGGGTCCTGATATGCACTAAAGCGATGCTGAACATGCTCATCTCTGACTAAGGAGGTCTACACGCAAAGGTTCTACAGTGTAAAGTAGTCTGTGTTCTTTGGGAGAGGAAACTTATAGACTATAGTGTGTGGACAAAAACAAAACAAAACAAAACAAAGGTGTGAACCACTGGACCTAGGTGGCCTGTTACATTGACCATGTGTGTACTACAAATAAAGAAGAACTGAGGGGGACTGACTAGGGGGTTACCATCTAACTTCCTGGGCTAGAAGGGAAACATGGGGTAAGGTCCAGAGCATGAGCAAAGTCTCCAACCTTAAATGGTGAAGAAGAGCTCAGGCCAGAGCCGAGGTGGCTCTCCAACCTCAAGTGGGGGAACTAAGGCTGTGGTGAAGCCTAAGGAGGAAGGACAGCCTCAGATGGTGAGGCAGTGCCAGGACCTGGGCAAACACACCAACTGCAAACGATGAACCCAGTTTCTCTTTTTCTTACTTGATGGGTCCTTTCTGTCGTTTCAAAATTTAGAAGAAACTTTGAATATGTTTGTGTTCATGTGACTACACTTGTGTGTGTATGTGTATGTGAATGTGCTTGCATGTGTATGTGCTTGTGCCGTTTAGCCTATGGTATACCCCAAATGTTGTCCATCCTGTTTATGAAATAGGATCTCTTGTTTGCTCTGGAACTCTCTGACTACATCAGGCTTGTTGACCAGCAAGCCGTAGGGTTCTCCCTGACTCGAAACCTGTGACAGATGTTCATCACACACCGGGTAGAACGTTAGATTATGCGTGTAATCATTCCAGTATTTGGGTTATGAGCTAAATGTTCTGTTTTGATACTTTCAAATGCATAAGAAGACATATCATCTAAGCCCACAGAGCCATGTGGATAGTTCACTGTTTCTAAACTCTTGAGTTTTAGTTCATTTGAAAGTTCAACTATACTAATTTTGTAGGATAAAGAAAATTCGAGACAGAGACTATTCGTGTCTTCTGTGCCAATGAATATTTCAGGAATGTCTACATATTTAATAGAATGTAATATTGCAAGTGGGGAATAAGTCAACAGAGACAAATCTCTCTTGCTTTATCATCACCTTGAATATCTGCTTTCTAAAAAAATAATCAGGGGAGTTTTATCAGAAGGAGATTATTTAAATTTGATCTTAGAGTAATTTAATCACACCATTTGGAATAGAGATTTAGACTTAAATCTTTTATCTGTTAATGTGAAGAAAAAAATAGCTATAGCTAGGTTTCTAAGCAAAATAGCCAACATAGACAGCACCGGGCTGGTTTTGATAACTCCCTTGTCAAGTCCAACAGGTGTGCTCCTTGTGATGTGGTGGGCATTCTACCACGCACACATAATGTCTGTTCCCTGTTGCAAAAAAGTAAAAAACTTTGCGGCCCAAATATCTGTGTCTATATAACATGTCCTTGCTATGTTCAGATGAACAGAAGGAGATATGCGGGAGGAAAACACCAGAAAACCACCATGACCTTATGCCCTAAATATCATTAGAATTGAGAAGAAAAACATCTTGCCCTGAATTCCATTCTGGCAGTTGAGAGAATGCGCAGCTGCCTGGCTGGGCAGCTGGGTTTAAATGAGTGAGCAGGGGCTCCTTCCTGCCAGGAGAGCTGCATGCTTCTCTCTGGCTGCCAGCTTCGTCTTGTCACTCCTGCTTTTGTGGCTCCCAGCTTTTCCAGCTGTGCCAGCTACAGGTTTCCAAGTGCTCCCAACTTTCCTTCCTAATGAATTATATTTCAAAGGACATCCAGGAATCTGTAGCAAAAAACAGAACACATGTACACTGTATCCTAAATAATAAATGCTGAAAAATACAGGAAAATATGTCAATAGTTTTGGACTTTTAAAATCATCCTTTGAAAAACATACTATTTTAAATAAATCATTTGGGGACTATATGCATGTATGCAATGTATTTTGATCATGTTCACCCCCACTCTTCTACCCAACTTCTCCAGGCTGTAAGTCCCTATCCCCCACCCCTTTCCAATGTCATATTCTTAGAAAAAACCCTATGCACTCAATTTGTGCTTCCCACCTAATTATGGGTTGTACACCACCCACTGAAGTTCGGTCAAGCTACTGGGAACCACATCCCCAAAGAAAGCTAACTTTGTCTTTCCTAGCAGTCATCAGCTGTCAAAAGCTTCTCAGCTAGAGGTGAGGGCTCTGAGCCCTTCCCCATTCCAAGATGTGATGTTAACTGACTTAATCTCATGTAGGTTTGTAGAAGCAACCACAGCTGATATGATATTATAAGTACAATAGCCCTGTCACGTCCAGGAAACAGTTTGGCTTGGTTTCTTACTGACCTTGGCTCTTACACTCTTTCTGTGGCCTCCTCCCTGGTGTCCTCTGAGGCTTTGAGAGATGGCCTCTGCATCAGCTTCTGCCTCTGCATTTTTTCCCTGTTAAGAGTTTCTGTCCTAGCTTCCTTTGATGATGAATAGCGGTTTGGAAGTACAAGTCAAGTAAAACCTTTCCTCCCCACCTAGCTTTTGGCCGTTGTGTTTGATCACAGCAACAGAAACCCAAAGATAGCATGTGACATAGATGTCCCACTTAGAGGTGAGGGTGCCATGGATACCTGTTTTCTGTACTTTGACCAGTTGTGAATTTCTGTTTTGTTGTCCACTGCACAACAAAACTTCTCTGATGAGGACTAAGGGCTGCACTCGTCCTTGAGTACAGAGATACGTATTTAGAGAACAGTTTGATACTATGTCTGTCTAGCAAAGTAATAGTAGCAGCTTCCCCCCAATCCCATGTGCTCCAGAACCAAGGATTCTTCATCAGATCTACAGGACAAGGTATGCATTTCCGCTTGTGTGTGGTCCTTATACCTCACAAGAATGTTGTTGGCTACTCCTATACCATTTGGGACAGCATTGCATCAAAGACATACGTATGTTTCCAGGCTGGTTATTATTGTAGCTAACAGCACTCACAGTTGTATAAGAATGGCAATGCTTTCTTTCTCCCTGTAGACTTCATGACAACTTATGAAAGCTAGCCAGCAGGCAGAAAGCTTCCGGATAGTACCAGCTTAATTTTTCCATATCCTATGACCAAAGGGTATGGTGTATTCAGCAATAGATCTTACCATAAGTTTTGATGGGCAACCAGGAGTGATAGCATAATTTGGCAATCTGTGTTTTCTGAGAGGAACAGCATTATCCTGAGTAGAGCAACAAACTTGTATATACACAAATTAGCAGGTTTCCATATGGCTTTTTCAAGTATCTTAGTATTAATTATACCTTCCCAAGCTCTTCTGTTCTATCCTCCTAATTGCCTTCTCACTTTAATTCTTCCTCGTCATTATATCCTTTCCCTTTCATATTACCTGCCTTCTACGACCCATATTCTACATACTATCTTTCTTCCTCCCTCTTAGTGGCGCAAAGTGTTTCTCCAAGTTAAACACACAAGTCTAAAGATTTAGTTCTGAACCCTACACATGCAGCATTTGTCTCTCTGGGTCTGGGTTAGCTCACTCAAAGTAATTTTTCCAGTTTTCTTGACATCATTAACTAAGCTAGTTGTAAAATATTTACCTTGTATTAACAGATACTTAGAAATTGTTTTTTTTTGTCTCTTTTTTAGGCATAAAACTGAATATTTATTACTTAGAGGACAGAGAGAGAGAAGGAGAAGAGAAAGGGAGAGAAAGAGAGAGAGAGACAGAGAGAGGGAGACACATGTGCACACACGCCAAGAGGGGACAGTGAGAGAGATTCAAGATGGCGAAGGCCGGGATTGGGGGGGGGGTCACTGGGAGTGGGCATGGCTTGTCCCTTAAAGGGACCAGAGACCAAAAGAATAACAATAACTGATCTCAAGATTTGAGGAGTACAAACCAGTTTCAAGGATTAGGGGCCCCAGAAGGTGTTAGGAGTGGAACTTGCAGGAAACTAGTAAAATGCACACATCAGAAAAGTTCACTTTTGGATTGTTTTGTCTAAGTTTAGTTAGACATCTTAAAATCTTAGAGGCCTGCAACTTAACATTGTCTGAAAGACTCTTACATGACATTTATCCCCGTGGACACCATGCTGTTAAAAGCAAGAAATGGGGTGAGGGAAGGGGTAGAGGGAGGGAGGTCTTTATTGGACCACTTGCCAAGAATTGTGCTCATTCAAATTATGTGTAAAAATATGCTTTAAAATCACTTCCTTGTAATGAGTTCACAAACAAGGCACTATGCAGCAGCGTTAACACCCAAACACCTCTCTCGTCCCAAACTTAACTTGCCAGGGACCTGCTCTGAAGCTCTAAAGCCATAGAGTTTCATGCAGGGTTTTCCACCTTCACTGCCAGTTGCATATCTATAAACACATCTGCCATAGAAAGTGAAAGAAAAAAAACAATGAAGTTAAAACTCGTAAACAATTAGCTGTATAGCCTCTTGCATGACTCATGTGTGCTTAATGTGAATTTTGTCCTTACCAGGCATTTCTGCCCTTCCTGGTTCTCCCTTCTAAATGTTGCTCTTCTTCTACATGTACACATATACTTGTTTGCATGTATATATTACACGATATGATGCTATAACATTTAGGAAGCAATGGATTTGAATAAAGCATAGATTATATAAATTTGACTGGCAAGTTAAAACATTAGAAGATTATACTCCCTTTTGTTGTATCAACACATATCTCCAAAATTCAGTGGTAGAAAGAGAAAGTTTCTGAGATCTCACAAATTTATCCACAGAACATCCAAAGATGTAAAAAAGAAGATTCAATTAGTAGCAAATTACAGGATAAAAGAAATTAGGTTGAAAAATTGCTTTAATTAACACATTGATTTTGTGTTAAACCTTTAACCAAAATTCTGTATCAATCCTCTAGGTGGCGCCACATCGGCTTGTAAACTCTAATCCGGAGCTGTGGTTGCTTCTCCTTGTGGTCTACATGCTGAACCCAAAACTATGCTCAGTTGAAATAATTTCACCCTGTGTATCCGCAGCCAATATGCATTCAGTGTAAGTAAACTGTGCCTTCTTTCCTCCAAATGTCATAATACAGGTTCCTGGTTTTTAGATGAGGGAGGTCAGGAGGGTATTTTCTCCTTCTGAAATTGAGCCTTGCTGCTGGAGGCAGAGCCTACTGATCCCACAAACATCATTTTCCCCTTTCTTTCTGGCTGACAGCTATCATGGCTCAATAAACTTTATTCCAGAGGTCTCTTGTCTCAAAAACTTGAGATTTAGCAATGGCATATAAACTATATTTATTTCTCCTCAAGTACCATGACAACAGTTGGTCACCTGTGACACTGCTCTCTAGGCTCGGCTGGGTTCCACCAGTCTTGACATCAGGGTAAAAACTCTTCCCAGACTATAGCAGCTGCCTCTGCTCAGTGTTCCTGTTTCCATCTTTTTTTTTCCCCCCATATACCAACAAATACTAGTAAAAAAAAAAAAGCAGGGAGTACTTGGACCACTTTGCCCCCTCTCCAGCCCCACTTATTTACACACATTTTCACATATAAGAGAATCAATGAGTAAACAAAGTCAAGGAAAAGGGAGAACTCTAAATGTTAAGCAATGAGGAAGTTATGGTGTGCCAAGCATGTCTACTGTCCAGAGGCTGGGGATAGACCATCAAAAACCACCGAGTGTCTACGTGTGGGTCTGAAAACCTTGTGAAGGAAAAGTAATCTGAAGTACAGTAAAGGGAATAGAAATAAAAAAAACAGGTGACTGGATGCACACACAAAACGATGAGGTGATGGAAAAAAATTTCTTTGCTGAGGATAATTTACACTTAGTGATATGGAAGAAATGCCAAAGTGAAAGATTTCAAAAAAAAGGTTTGTATACAAATACGTCCATAAGGGGAGTGTAATGTTCCTTCCTAAAGAGTTTATTTGAGGTGATATTAGAAGATATTATTTAGACTATTCAATTGATCTTTCCCCCTGACTAAACCTCTTCATTACATAGGAGTTTATCCTGAGGCTTGCTCTCTTATGGATTCAAGATGGCTCGGAGGCCTCTAAGTAGCATATCTTTTTCTTTCTTTCTTTCTTTTTTTTTATTGAAAAATAAAAAAAATTTCCGCCTCCTCCCAGCCTCCCATTTCCCTCCCCTACCTCCCACACTACTCCCCCTGGCCCCCTCCTTTCCCAATCCCTCTCCAGTCCAAAGAGCAGTCATGGTTCCCTGCACTGTGGAAAGTCCAAGGTCCTCCCCCCTCCATCTAGGTCTAGGAAGGTGAGCATTCAAACTGGCTAGGCTCCCACAAAGCCAGAACATGAAGTAGGATCAAACCCCAGTGCCTTTGTCTTTGGCTTCTCATCAGTCCTCATTGTTCAGAGAGTCCGGTTTTATCCCATGCTTTTTCAGTTCCAGTCCAGCTGGCCTTGGTGAGCTCCCAATAGATCAGTCCCTCTGTCTCAGTGGGTGGGTGCACCCCTCACGGTCCCGACTTCCTTGCTCATGTTCTCCCTCCGTCTGATCCTCATTGGGACCTTGGGACCTTATTCTGGTGCTCCAATATGGGTCTCTGTCTTTATCTCCATCCATCGCACGATGAAGGTTCTATGGTGATATGCAAGATATTCATCAGTGTGGTTATAGGATAGGGCCATTTCAGGTTCCTTATCCTCAGCTGTCCAAGGCACTAACTGGGGACATCCCCCTGGGCACCTGGGGGCCCATCTAGGTTCAGGTCTCTTGCCCACTATAAGCTGGATCCATTATATAAGATATATACTTCCCTGCTCCCATATCCATCCTTCCTTTATCCCAACCATCCCAATTGCCCAAGTTCCCCCCAACCTCCCCTTCGCACATTTCTCTCCCCATCTCCCCTTACCCCTATCCCACCCCACCCCCAAGATCCCAATTTTTGCTCGGCAATCTTGTCTACTTCCCATATCCAGGAGGATAACTATGTTTTTCTTTGGGTTCACCTTCTTATTTAGCTTCTTTAGGATCACAAATTATAGACTCAATGTCGTTTATTTATGGCTAGAAACCAATTATGAGTGAGTACATCCCATATTCATCTTTTTGGGTCTAGGAAACCTCACTCAGGATAGTGTTTTCTATTTCCATCCATTTGCATGCAAAATTCAAGAAGTCATTGTTTTTTACCACTGAGTAGTACTCTAATGTGTATATATTCCACACTTTCTTCAACCATTCTTCCATTGAAGGACATTTAGGTTTTTTCCAGGTTCTGGCTATTACAAATAATGCTGCTATGAACATAGTTGAACAAATGCTTTTGTCATATGATAGGGCATCTCTTGGGTATAGTCCCAAGAGTGGTATTGCTGGGTCCTGGGGCAGGATGATCCCGAATTTCCTGAGAAACCGCCACACTGATTTCCATAGTGGTTAGACAAGTTTGCATTCCCACCAGCAATGGATGAGTGTGCCCCTTACTCCACAACCTCTCCAGCAAAGGCTATCATTGGTGTTTTTGATTTTAGCCATTCTGACAAGTGTAAGATGATATCTCAAAGTTGTTTTGATTTGCATTTCCCTGATCACTAAGGAGGTTGAGCATGACCTTAAGTGTCTTTTGGCCATTTGAAGTTCTTCTGTTGAGAATTCTCTGTTCAGTTCAGTGCCCCATTTTTTAATTGGGTTAATTAGCATTTTAAAGTCTAGTTTCTTGAGTTCTTTATATATTTAGGAGATCAAACCTTTGTCTGTTGCGGGGTTGGTGAAGATCTTCTACCAGTCAGTGGGTTGCCTTTTTGTCTTAGTGACAGTGTCCTTTGCTTTACAGAAGCTTCTCAGTTTCAATAGGTCCCATTTATTCAATGTTGCTCTTAGTGTCTGTGTTGCTGGGGTTATACATAGGAAGCGATCTCCTGTGCCCATATGTTGTAGGGTACTTCCCACTTTCTCTTCTATTAGGTTCAGTGTGTTCAGACTGATATTGAGGTCTTTGATCCATTTGGACTTGAGGTTTGTGCTTGGTGATAGATATGGATCTATTTTCATTCTTCTACAGGTTGACATCCAATTGTGCCAGCACCATTTGTTGAAGATGCTTTCTTTCTTCCATTGTATACTTTTAGCTCCTTTATCAAAAATGAGGTGTTCATAGGTTTGTGGGTTAAAATCCCGGTCTTCTATATGATTCCATTGGTCGACTTCTCTGTTATTATGCCAATACCACACTGTTTTCATTACTGTAGCTCTATAATAGAGTTTGAAGTCAGGGATATTAATGCCTCCAGAAGTTCCTTTATTGTATAAGATTGTTTTGGCTATCCTGGGTTTTTTGTTTTTCCATATAAAGTTGATTATTATCCTCTCAAGATCTGTGAAGAATTTTGAAGGGACCTTTATGGGGATTGCATTGAATCTATAAATTGCCTTTGGTAGAATTGCCATTTTTACTATGTTGATCCTCCCAATCCAAGAGCAAGGGAGGTCCTTCCATTTTCTGGTATCCTCTTCAATTTCTTTCTTCAATGCCTTAAAGTTCTTGTCAAATAGATCTTTCACTTCCTTGGTCAGAGTTACTCCAAGATATTTTATGCTATTTGTGGCTATCATGAAAGGTGAGGCTTCTTTGATTTCCTTCTCTGCTTCCATATCCTTTGTGTATAGGAGGGCAACTGATTTTTTGGAGTTGATTTTGTATCCTGCCACATTACTAAAGGTGTTTATCAGCTGTAAGAGTTCTTTGGTGGAGTTTTTGGGGTCGCTTATGTACACTATCATATCATCTGCAAATAATGAAAGTTTAACTTCTTCCTTTCCAATTCGAATCCCCTTGATCCCCTTATGTTGTCTTATTGCTATTGCTAGAACTTCAAGCACTACATTGAAGAGGTATGGAGAGAGTGGACAGCCTTGTCGTGTTCCTGATTTTAGTGGGATGGCTTTGAGTTTCACTCCATTTAATTTGATGTTAGCTGTCAGCTTGCTGTAAATAGCTTTTATTATATTTAGGTATGTCCCTTTATCCCTAATCTCTCCAAGACTTTTATCATAAAGGGATGTTGAATTTTGTCAAATGCTTTTTCAGCATCTAATGAAATGATCATATAGTTTTTTTCTTTCATTTTATTTATATGATGGATTACATTGATAGATTTGCCTATGTTGAACCAGCCCTGCATCTCTGGGATGAAGCCTACTTGATTATAATGGATATTTTTTCTAATGTGTTCTTGGATTTGGTTTGCCAGTATTTTATTGAGGATTTTTGCGTTGATGTTCATGAGTGAGATTGGCCTGTAATTCTCTTTCCTGGTTGAGTCTTTGTGTGGTTTTGGTATCAGAGTAACTGTAGCTTCATAAAAGGAATTTGGCAATGACTCTTCTGTTTCTATATTGTGAAATACATTAAGGAGTATAGGTCTTAGGTCTTTTTGGAAGTTCTGGTAGAAGTCTGCATTGAAACCATCTGGTCCTGGGCTTTTTTTGGTAGGGAGGTTTTTGAAAACAGCTTCTAATTCTTCACGACTAACAGGTCTATTTAGATTGTTCACCTGGTCCTGGTTTAACTTTGGTATATGGTATTTATCTAAAAAAAAGTGTACGTTTCTTCTACATTTTCCAGGTTTGTGGCATACAGGCTTTTGTAGTAAGATCTAATGATTCTTTGAATTTCCTCTGTGTCTGTGGTTATGTCCCCCTTTTCATTCCTGATCTTAATAATTTGCATATTCTCTCTCTGCCGTTTGATTAGTTTGGATAGGGGTTTATCAATCTTGTTTATTTTCTCCAGAAACCAGCTTTTTGTTTCATTGATTCTTTGGATTGTTTTCTGTGTTTCTATTTTGTTGATTTCAGCCCTCAGTTTGATTATTTCCAGTCTTCTACTCCTCCTAGGTGAGTTTGTTCTTTTTTTTTCTAGAGCTTTCAGGTGGGCTGTTAAGTCTCCAATGTGTGCTTTCTCTGTTTTCTTTAAGTGGGCACTTAGTGCTATGAACTTTCCTCTTAGGGCTGCTTTCAGAGTGTCCCATTAGTTTGAGTATTTTGTTTCTTTATTTTCATTGAATTCGAGG